AAGGGTTGTATTGGTTTGTAGTGAGAGGATTAGCTCGCTAAACATAGACAGATAATAACATACCTGGTCAACCACTAGAGCAAAGCATGAATGAACTTCCACTGATCCTTAAGGAAGAATCATTATATTAAATAAACATTTTATTTGGAGCCTTCACACCTACAGCAGGTCTGTTAGACAAAACACTCATCTTTTAACACGAGTGTGATTTTTAAAGAAATAAATAGGCTATTATGTTGCACGCTATAGGCTATGTATGAATTTGATAACCTACGATTTTAAAGAGATGATTAGAATTCATTTTATTTGTTATGACTAGACTACAAGCATTGCAAGTCTTGCCAGGATGCCACAGACTGTTTATATTTGGACTAAGCCGTTCACTTGGTTGATTAGTGGTTACCTAAGCGTTCCAGGTAGCGAGAAAAATCGCTTCCAAGTGTCTGATTCAGGGCACAGGTGAACAGCGACCTCAGCACGATGGAAACATGACAGAAAGTCCATTTCAACATCGTATGTTCTTCTCATGCGAAACAGAAGACTGATGGAAGAGACATTGAAGATGACAAATCATAAAATCGGGCAGCGGAAGTTGGTCGATCGATCAGAGTAAATCAGTTTGCTAGCTGAGGAATTTTAGTGGGCTGTTCAATTGTAGCCTAGTTGTTTTCCCTGATTGGCTATTTACGTTTCGGCGAACCTGTTTCTGGTTTAATTTATCTGGACTTTCGTCGGAGAAATGAGCTGCGTAATGTTAGTGGAGTTTGTGGGGTGTTTATTTAGGTAACTTCAACCAGTGAAGTTGCAGTGTTTTGTGCTCGGGTCAAACAAACATGCTGGACCTGAACGTGCTTGAGCGCTCCTCCGTGTTCGCCGCTGAGATGATGATGAAGGAGGTGTTTGATCGGACTCCCACGGAAAAAGAGCTCGTCTCTCAGTCCAAGGAACTCTGTAGAGACTTCATTCACTCCAGAATCGTAAGGGAAGGACTAAGTTGGTCAAAAGTCGAGTCTGATCTGCCCGAGCCACACGGAGCTCTTGTAGATATATCTGTGGTGCTGCTCAAACTGGGTAAGAAAACCACGAGTGAGTTTGAATTGATGCTATTAACAGATGTGATGCCTTTTCAGTATTTATCATCCAGCTAAATCAGGACTATTTCATAACATCACAACTCAAAATCAGCTTTCTTTCTTTCCTTCCTTCCTTCCTTCCTTCCTTCCGAATTGTCTTATACTCGTAAACTTATACTGTGATTTATAGCAACTGTGTATGTTGATTGATTCTATCATTGAAAAACCCATTTTAGTTGATCACTGGTCTGAATATTGGAAGGTTGGGGGAACATATCCCTCTCACTATCATTTGAGTGTATATTTAAACTGTTTTACAGGTGTAGTTTTGTTTTACAGGTGATGAACTTGAGTGTATGCGCCCGTATGTGTATCGTAATATCGCAAAGCAGCTGAACATCAGTGTAGCAGTGGAGGCTGTGGTGTCAGATGCGTTTCTCTCTGTAGCAACTGAGATCCTAGTCATGGGTAAGTGATCTGGAAGATATTTTAAGACGTGTTTTATAGGCAGTGTTTGTGGGCATGACCTCACTGTCCTTGCATTGAAGTGTTTAAAAAAAAAAGAAACATTTAAGTATTTTATTATTAGTATTTTCTCTAGGTATCTTGTTGTTGTTGTTATTATTGCTAATTTAGTACCTAATTGGCTATTTTGAGACCAAAAAAAAAAAAAGAGGACATTGCTACTACTATAAATGGAGTGAATTTGGAGATGTGGGATTTGTTCCAAATGTAAATGAAGCAATGTTAGCCTGAGCAGGGTTTGAGGTTTAAAAAAAACATTTCAAGACATTAATTTCATTATGTTTTTATTAAATTACAGTAAAATTGTAATCTAAAACTGGAAGAGCTATTGACTTGAGCCTTTTATTGGATTTCAGTGGTGTGTTTGAGAGGGGCACTTTGATCATCAGTTTAATGACAAGTTCTTCAGTGGTCTTTTTTCGGAACATGGAAAAAAGCCTAAAAAGGACATACCCACATTCTTTCCTTTGTACATATTTGGTCACATATTTTATCTGGGTTCTGCTTCTATTGATGTACATAATGGTTGCAGTGGAGTCCTAAACCATGGCAGTATCATTCCACTCTGCCTGATGATCTTCTCACAGACGTTACTACAGAAGATAGAACGTTGTAAGGTTTGTGAGGAGTTATCCTAAATGAATGCTGAATATGAAGGAACATAAACAATTGGAATAGTCCCTGACTCATGCATTAGTGAAGCATGGCAGTGTCATGTCAGATTTAAAGGTGTGAAAGAAGACATGGCCAATTTAGGACTTGCAACCTCATGGAATTCTCATGATATCCTGTTATCTAAAATGCTGTATGATTATGATTAATGCAAAAGTGTTCGAGCTGCTAAAAATGGATGGCTCGGTTTTCTAGTTCTTCTCGTGGAATTGCGTTTACTTTCAAGGGATCACATGGGGCAAAGTGGTGGCCATCTACGCTGTAGCAGCCGGGCTGGCGGTGGACTGTGTGCGTCAGGGCCATCCAGTCATGGTGCACACCATAGTGGACAGTCTGGGAGAGTTTGTGCGTAGGAACCTGGTCCCATGGCTCAAAAAGAGAGGAGGATGGGTAAGTGTTCATTCTCGGTATTGCCACCTTCATGAACCAAGACTGGTCCTGACCTCTAGAGGCCATATGAGGAAATGAAGTATTGTTACCATGCTGTGTTAGTGCATTTATTTCCTTTGTGCTACTGCAATTCCATACTATACCTGTTTTTTGTTTTTAAGAAATTGTTACTTTGATTGGGCAAGGACTCATTAAATTGATCAAAAGGCACAGTAAAGACATTTATAATGTTACAAAATATTTCTGTTTCAAATAAATGTTCTTGGTTTGTATCATGGGTTACACAAAAATACTAAGCAGCATAACTGTTTTCAACAATGATGATAATAATAAGAAATGTTTCTTGAGCAGCAAATCAGCATATCTGAATGATTTCTGAAGGATCATGTGACACTGAAAACTGGAGTAATGGCTGCTAAATATTCAGCTTTGCATCACAGGAATAAATTGCAATTTAAAATGCATTAAAAATGACAAAACGGCTATTTTAAACTGTAATATTTCAAAATTTATATAGTTTTTACTGTATTTTCTGATCAAATAAATGCAGCCCTGGTGAGAAGATTCTTTTTAAAAAAATATTATTGACCCCAAACTATGTGATATGTAAGCGTGTCAAATGTTTCCTTTTCATCTGTCTTTCCAGGGGGACATTTTAAAATGTGTGGTGAACATGGACTCTAGAGCTCGTGCCCACTGGTTATCAACAGCTGTGTTCTCATGGAGGCAATTCTTAAAGACCATGTACATCTACCTGACGAAGTAGCCTCGTGCAGGAAATCATCCTGTTGACTGAGAACTGAATCTTTCTGAAACTATTTGAATGGTCCATTGTACTGTTTGTGGAGCAAGCGGCCCCTCACAAAGGTCATAGCACGTCACCCGGGTTCAGCCGCACCTTAATCCTCTTTTACCTTTCATTATTTCTTTAAAATATACTATGTATAGACTGAAACAAATACTATGAGCTGACATTGTGGGGGTGTGGGGGGTGGCACTGTGAAGGAATATGTGCTATATTTATTGCTGGAGCTACATAATATCTGTCTTCCTTAGTTTAAACTGACCCAGAAATATGGTATGCAGGTATTGGAGCTCTTTTTGTGCTAACACGTTGCGTGGATTCATTCCACTGAGATTTTATACTGAATATCTGTGGTGATGAGTGAAACATTTAAATGTTTGACAGTCTTCAGATTTTTATTTTTACAAAATTGCTTAAAATGATGTTTGGAGTGTCACTTTGCACTTTCAGTTGTACAGTTTGTGTGGTGTGTGAAACACTGTTGTCACCAGCTGTATACATCTTAAAATAAATATTTTAATGTGTGAACTGAAAGAGAAGTTGAACATTTATAAACAGAAAGGGTTCCAGTGGTCATGGAAAACCTGGAAATATCAGGGAAATTACAAATGTTTTTCCCAAGAAAGACTATTAAAATCAAAAGTCACACACAAAAAAGCTAATTTCTGTAGTGAAATATACGCTACCGTTCAAAAGTTTTGGGTTGGTAAGATTAAAACAAAAAAATGCTTCTTATGCTCACCAGAACTGCATTTATTTGATCAGAAATACAGTAAAAAAAAACAGTAATATTGTTAAATATTATTACAAATTAAAATAACTGTTTTGAACTTCAATATATGTTAACTCCAATCTTCAGTGTCACATGATCCTTCAGAAATCATTCTAATATGCCAATTTGGTGCTGAAGAAACATTTCCTATTATTACCAATGTTGAAAATAATTGTGCTGCGTAACATCTTTTGGGAAACAGCAATGCATTTCTTTCAGGACTTCTTGATAAAAATAAAGTAAAAAAAAACAGCATGTATTTGCAATATCTGTGTCTTTGTAACGATGTAAAAGTCTTTACAGTCACTTTTGATCAATTTAATGCATTGTTGCTCAAAAGTATAAATTTTTCAAAAAACACATTAACGACAAACTTTTTAATTATAGTGTTGATTTGACTTGACCGACTATAAATCCATAATTTTGAGTGCAATCTCTATTAAACGATTTCTTTAAAAAAATATTTTCCATTTGTTCATGATTACTAAAAAGCCACAACAATTAATTCAACAAAAGATAGGGGCCTTTGTTTCTGTTAGTGAATTAATGTATCCCCAATGAAATATCATTAAAAATATAAATACTAAAAGCTTCTTGAGTTATGATTGGAGAAAAAAAATACTAATTTTAATTATAATTTAATTTGCAAACTTAATCTTAAGGAAACAGATATGAGAAAATGAACAGCATTTTCTTCAAAGACGGAGTTTGCCTTGAACAAACTAACCACAATTTAAATTTGAAAAGACAATTTCATATTTTTATTGTAGTTGCTCTACATTATACAAAACGACCCCTTTATATATTGTAACAATATTTGCGAAGCTTGTTTTGTTGGGAAGACAGGTCAGATCACATCTATTACTTTAGATAACATTCTTACTCACAGATATATTACCATCTCCCACAGGTTACTATATATAAACCATCAATATTTTGTGTCAGATGAGTACATTAGTACAAGTGCTTTTCACAAACACATCTTCCTCCCACATGACAGCCAGTTAATCAGTCCTGCGGTAAGTGATGTGCAAATGCTGCGTCAGAGGCTGTCCATCCAGTGCCATAGAGATCGTCTGTTCCAGCCTTCCATCCGGCTTCAACTGGATGTGCCTGGAGATCTGATCAAAAATTGAAATTATTAGTGGAACATTTATTCTAATTACTATGCCGGTTCAGCAATATTCAAGACATATTTTCTTCATGAAAATATCACTACTGAGCTTATTGTTTCATTAATCTGACAAGGTGCACATTAAACATTTTGTGTTATGAGACCTGTTGAACATAAGGCTGCTTGGCAAAAGATGTTCTAGCCAGGGCAGTACTGTGCAGAGTCAGCTGCTGTCCAGTGAGTTCCCCCTCCTCAATCTCCACAAGACCTGGAAGAGGTAGAAACGGTTGATTTAAAAAATACATGGTATTATAGACAGTGCTGCGTAGATTACTTTCAAATTTGTATATTGTTAATGATTACAAATGACACTGCAACAATTGTAGTTAATAACGTAATCCATTAGATTACACATTTTAGGTAATCTACTCTGACTAATTTTTGATTACTTTAAAGGCACAATGTCATTTTCGCTGCTAAAGGGCACGTATTCAAAATAAACAAAGAAGCAAAGGCGTAGTTTGATGACGCCGTGAATCATGGGAATTGTCGTCTTCTTCCCCACAGCCGATGCAATCTGACGGGACTCGGGCAGAAATCATGTTCATGGATGAGCTAATGATTTCTTAACGTAATAGAATGAAGCAGGGTGAGGCTGAAAGCCGTCGAAGTGAAACGAGGCCGCTGAACGAGCGCGACACACGGCTGGAAAGCAGCGGAGCTTTTATTATGCCGCAGTCGACCGCTTCCGCTCCTTCCGGTCGTGCGTATGTGGGGAAAAAAAGCAGCGCCGTTTTATCAGACTAGATACATTTGAAAGTTCTGTTATAATGCTACTCTGTGCGGTCGTCACCGGTCTATTAAAACACACAACATATTAAAGCGTCTTTGGTGTTTCCATGTTTTCTACAAAACAAAACCGGAAATCGAGGGGTTATGACGTCACTGGCAGGCCACACAATGACACTATGGACACGGTCCGTGTCACTAGTTAAAATTGCTCATTTCTCTGGATTTAAACATTATTCGAAACATTAGGGATAATGTAAGTACAGCAAAATATATAACACTGTTCTAGTGGTTTTTGGGATATTTTAATTAAAAAAAATCTTACATATTGTGCCTTTAAGAATCCTTTCGAATATAAAATTATATAGTTATATACACTACCAGTCAAAAGTTTTCAGGCAGTAAGATGTTTAATGTTTTTTAAAGAATTCTCTTCTGCTCATCAAGCCTGCATTTATTTGATCCAAAATACAGCAAAAGCAGTAATAGTGTGAACTATTTTTACTGTTTAAAATAACTGCTGTCTATTTGAATATATTTTAAAATGTAATTGATTCCTGTGATTTCAAAGCTGAATTTTTAGCATCATTACTCCAGTCACATGATCTTTCAGTATAAAAAAAATATAATAAAATTATAAAGAAAGAAAATATATTGCATTTTTATCAACATCAAGGACCCTAAACTGGATGTTGTGCAGGAAAAGAAGAGGGTTCATAAGCTAATGAAAAGCTAATCATTAATATAAATTAATAGATGTAATATATTCATAAAATGTAAATAAATAAACACTAAAATTAAATATTTTATTTCTCTACATGCATGTCATGTGACCATTAACAGAGTATCAATTAGTTATGAATGTGTATGCTGCCATTGTGTAAATAATATGTAATCATTTAATCAATAAAAGTAGCTGTAGTACAATTAGGAGTATTTTAACTAACAATCCAATTACAAGCACTTAATTTTTGGATCTGATTACATAAGAAAAGTTTAAAAAAACAAATCAAACACCTGAGTTCTGTGCGATGATGAAGGCCACCCTGTTGGTGCCTGGCTGAATCCTGATGAATCCACACTCCCTGTGAAGTGGCTTTTTGCTCTCAGCATGGACTGCATTAAACCTGAAATAAATTAAATAATTTCTGAACATGGCATAATAAAAAAGTAAAAAAATAAATTAAAAAAAGCCTCTGGGTTGTTTTGTTACTTACATAAAATTGATCACGGGCTGTCCTACATGTGAGAAATGAAGAGTCTCTGTGTAACGGAAAGCCGTGATGGAGGGGAAGGATCCCTCTCCTGGCTCATCGGACTGCCAGGTTCCCAGGAGCCAGTCCAGCGGCAGCACTGCGGGGTTCAGCTCCGCTGTGGAAACACGGAGGCCAGGGGAAATAAGGTCGAAGCACGCTTGTCCGTGATGTAAAATATGTTCACGTTCTGATGCACCTGCTGATTATTAAATGCATGTTTCATTTTAATGGTAATACGTTTGACCTACAGACAACAGCTCGGAAATCCATTAGAAATAAGACAAATCAGGTGTTTATGAATTTAAATGGAATCATCATGTTGTCCTACCAGAGTGATTGAATGGGCATGACATTCCGCTGGAATACTTTCAAGTAACCACGAATTGTATCAATTTAAGTGACACTAAATTTATTTCGCACTGCGGTTGAACCACTATCTGTTTGCCATCACAGTGCGTGTCTACTTCCTGATTAGACACTAGGAATTCTGGGAGATGTAGTTATTAGGCGCTCTATCGATAGCCTACTATGGCCGCTTTCGAAGCACTGCGTGAAGCTTCGAAACTTTTGCGAATCATTTGTTTCAAAACAGTGGTTCGGAGCGCGTATCAAACTGCCAAAGTCAAGTGATTTTAGTAAACGAGGCTTCATACGCAGAGGCGGACAAAGTACTCAACTCCATTACTTGAGTGAAAGTACAGATACCGCTGGTCAAATATTACTCCATTACAAGTAAAAGTTGTAAAGACAGATTTTTACTTAAGTAAAAGTACAGAAGTACTTGCTTTTAAAAGTACTTAAGTACCAAAAGTAAATTTCCTTTTTTGTCAATGCACTGTTTTATTGTTGTATGAAGTAGTACTTGCAATACTTCTGAAGCAACTTAGAATACATTACACCTGGTGAATACACTGACTAGCTTGTAGTATATTTGCAATAAAGAGCTTTTAGAATGTTAAAAACCTATGGGGAAAAAAACAAAACAAAAAAAACTATTTAACACCCCTACCCACCCCCACAAAAGCAGGGATGGTAGTGATCTCACACAGTTCTGACAGTGTGTGCACACATCTATGTGTAGCCATTCAGCTTTCCATTGGGGGGCGATCTCTGTGAACCAGTGAATCATGCGAGTTTATTGAGATCGCCTCCCAGCGGCGAAACACTGAACCAGCGTCTATGGATTTTACCTGGGGCAAGTTCAAGCTCAAACCGGTGCGCAACCCCTCCATAAAACAAAACAAAACAAGCCCTGCAATTTAATATAAAATATTTTAAAAGCCACATATTATACAGACACTTCATATTTAATGGTATTTTATCATTTTTATGGCATTTAATGTATTATACTTTCAATAAAACATTTGCAATGGGGTTTTAAAATCTGTTTTTATACGTTTGGGTTTAGCCTGAGTTTTTGATGCATTTACACACTTTTGAACAGCAGGCGTCACCAGCGTGTGGTGTTTCGAGCGCTTCGAAACAGTGAATCATTTTGCGAAGCAATTGGTTCAATTGATTCGAAGCTTCGAAAAGGTTCGTTTCTATAGGGATAATTCTGCAATTCCACAATTCTGCACGCGAAAGATCATATTTTGAGCGCACAAAAGTGCATTTTGCACGCGCGCGATCTGAGTTTTGT